AGACCAAATTATAATATTGATCGAAGAAGAAATTTATGTTTCGTAATATAAGAAATTACTTGTTATGCTCGACTCCGAAGTGTTCACAGTTGACTGAAATATAAAAACCACAAACTGTAATAAATTTCATAATTTGTTCACATACGCGTTTTTATTCATTATAAACAGTATGCTAATGACGATTAATTTCAACAGTTCATACAAGCATTTTTCATTCTCTTTTTCTACAAATGAAATATAAAAATGTAAAATAAAACAATTGATTCATTTGTTTTTCTTTCTTCAATCTACAGAAAGGTAAGAATAATACAATTTTCAATACATATAAGTTCAGTACATCTTTATTGTATGTTTTGAAATCAATCTCAAAACTAATCTTCAGTTTATTAGATTTAATTCAATTTAAAATATCCTTTTCAATAATGAACGACACTAATTCTGAACAAAATCAAATTTCTACTAACTTTTCTTACTTAGTAATCTGAAAAGGACATGCAATATTTAATAATAAAGAGACATACTTCACTATAAAAAGAATGTGGATAAACTATAATGTAATATAATATTAAAAGATTTCAACATATTTTTTTCCGTTATAAAATAAACAAAATTATATGTAGTTAAATATTTGTGTTACTAACAAAGTTATATACAAAAACATGGACAATGAGTCTTCCTTGTATTGATTGTATAAAAGAAAAGTAGATATTTATTTATTTTTCATGCTATTTATAAAATATAGGACACTCTTTAAATATTATCTTCATAAATATTGATCTGTAATCATCATGAAATAGTTGTTTATTTCTAGACTTCGTATGTAGAAGAACGAAAATATTATAATTACTTTTTCAATCTTATCATCAATGTAACTACATTACACTCTGTTTAGAACAGCAAAAGAGAGAATAGCAAAGGAAGAACTTATTCTCCAATGTCAATTAGCAAAACGTGAAGCATGTAATATTATTTTGCAACTGTAACTATATCTGGGTCTATGAGAACATTAGCAAACAAAAAAAAATACCAGTGACATCTTCTGTGCAGATAAAAGATTTGAGAAACAGTAGTTTTTATCAGTTGTTAGTAATGAAAATAATCAACACGAAAATGCACTTATAAATATTTTTTGGAACGATTCATATAGAAAATAATAATTCTCTATATTTCCTAGATAAACTATGACTTTCACATATTTTTGATCAAAATATTTTACATATGATTATGTATGGAACCATATGGGTAATTATTCAACATAGAATAAACAAAAGTCTATACGCGGTTAGTTGGATATATAAGAGAAGATACTGATTATACACTCGCAGTTGTTGTTTTTTCATCCGGTATTATAAACTTGATTTTTTTATTGTTTTAGATTTACATTCTCTTCTCCATCATCACAAAAATTTCTAGATACATCATCTATATTATTATAGGATAATATGAAAGTGAGTATACGATGTTGGTATAACAATTCACATATGAATACTAGGAATTTATGAGAGCAATAATTAGACGAAAATTGTCGTATTCCTAGTTTGCATTAGTTATTATATTAACAGATAAAAAAAAAGATTTAAGATTTTGAGAGATTCTTGCTTTTCTTTAACCCTCAAGCGCCCACCTGGGGTCCACGCGGACCCCAACTAGTTTCATTCTAATGTTTTACATATACGATCGCAGATCATATCACACCACTCTAGATATGCTCTAGTGCAGAGTAGTAGAGTATACCATAGAAAGCATTCGCTTATCTCCTTTAGTCTTCTATATGATAAATTACCTTAAAGTACATATATACGCATTTTGCCAACCTGGGGTCCAACCGGACCCCATGATATAACATTAGTTTCTGCTTATTATTTAATTATAAATTTTTCGTTTTCATAGTTTATATATTTGTCCGCACATATGAAAGTATTCTGTAGCTATCTAATAAATTGTAAAGCATGTCAATGACTTTCTTTTTCAACATACTTGATGTTGGTACTCTTGCTACTTTTGTGGTATGGGCAACCAAAAACTCTCAATGGAATGAAAAGAAAAACTATAGTCGACGTCTATTTCTAATGGAATTAGGTCATGATCTTGTTCAATCGCATTTGGATCGATGACGATATCAACCGCAGGCACTTCAAAAGAACGTTCGAATAGCTATGCAGGCAATTGGACTAACAATAACTACTTCACAACCAACTATTGGTTCAACAGCTACTGTCAAGCAACGTTGTCATCTTTGTCCAAGAGAGCGTGATCGAAAGGTTATTACTCACTGTTCAAGTTGTAATGCTCCCTGTTGTCTAGATCATCACATAGTTGTTTGCACGATTTGTAGCGAAACATTTTTAGGTTAAAAACGGATTATAAGAAAATGTTTTAAAAATAAAAGATAAAATAACGAAATATAGTTTCCATTCATAAGCTACTGAGTCTGTAAGAGGCAAATTATATACCACATAATGCTATCATAGTATACTAGTTAAAACGCGTATTATATCTATCTTATTAGCTTGGGGTCCATGCGGACCCCAGGTGGGTAATAAGTGTTAGTCCTACAGGTGGGCGCTTGAGGGTTAAAGAGGATGCCTATGATAAATGAGAGGGTAATATAGCGTGAAGGAAAAAGCAAAATATAGCATTAAAAGTATTTTGCGATACGAATAAATAAGACAAATGATATTGTGCAATAAACCTGGCATGTTATTCACTGACCTCTGTTCGATTTTCTTTTTAAGTTTAATAATTATCACATCACTATATAAAAATTACTTAGGCCTGTTATTTATCTTTTGATATAAAAGAATAGATTCAATGTATGTTTCGATTCTTTTTGTCTTTTGTATGTTTTGCTTAACTACATTACATACATCGATAAGAATAAAAAAAATTTATTTATATAACAGAAAATTTTTCTAAAATAATTATATGTTATAATGACTTTACACGGATGCTATTTCATAGTACTGATAAAATATTAATAGTTCGATAATGTCTTTATCTTCTTTTTTAAAAAAAGTCGTAAGATTTCACATCAATAGTATCATGGGTTATTTAATAAAAGAATAAATCCATCAATATTTTTCATAAGAAGAATATTTAAACTTTAGAAAAGTCACCTACTGATAATTTTTTTATGGAATCATGCTGCAGTCAACGCGATGCTTTCCGAACATCCTTGGGAGCCATCTTTTTATTCTTTCATCAGTTACTGTAATCATATAAATTTAGATAATAAGTAGTGAAAACAAATACTTTGTTGGCCAAAGGCATAAGATTAATATAGAAACAAAGGATCAAAAGAATCTTTTTTGAATACAGGTCATTTTTTTTCATGTATAATTAGCTATAAAAATTACGTAGAATTTTTTTCTTTATTTCACAATTTCTTTCTTTTTATAAGTTAAAGTACAAAGATAAAAAAAATTAATATCTTATAAAAACTAATATTATTTGCACTGAGAAATAAGATATAAACTTATAAATGATGTATTTAATAAGTAGTTAAGGTCACTCTAAAAATATAAAATCGATACAAAATTGGTTATTTTAATAAAATATATATATTATTTTTTTTCTATTCCATAAGCTTCTTTTACAGATCAAGTATAAAAAAATATTTCTGTATTAGTGTTGTTCAAGTAATTTTCATTGTCTATAGGAATTTATCAAGATAGTTTTGAATTGTTTATTATAATAGAAAAAAATATTATATTTTGTTTCTTTGCATGTCATCACTAATTATCATTGAATAGTTATAAAAATAGAAATAATTTAATTTATTCGCTTTTTTGCTTTTATTAGGATTACACAGTAGAATATATTTTCTAACTAGATTATTTTGTCAACCGGAAAATATTTCCTTGACAACTATAGAATTTTAAGTTTAATAAAACTTATTTGAAATATTTAGTTTATATGTAAGATGAGTTACTGTTCTATAGAATTTTTCAATTGTATCTCATCAAATGTTTTTTTTATCTATTAATATAACTCTAATAGTTAAATGTTGAAAAAGACCACTTGATAATATAAGTTGAAACAGATCCAATTTCAAAATGCTTGACATTCTATTGTCATGTTACTCAGATAATATATATCTTAAATAAGACTAATTTCAAGAGATTATCTCTTTATGTATTTATTCTCGTATTAGTATTCATATCATTTAGTAGTGGTGAAACACTTTATTATTAAATATACTAAAGCTTTTTTTAAAGTATACCGGAAGATATTAGTAATGCATATCATAAGTGATGTATTACAAATGTCAAGGCAGAAACTATCTTGTATGATCTTAACAAAAAGCAAAAAAATCGTTTTTTTTACAGTTTAGATTTAATTAAAATATTAAGATAATTTTTCTGTAATATTTATCCTATTTAATTATCTATGATATCTTAATAAATGAATGAAATATAGAAACATTTCATTAGTCGTTAAGCACAAGGTTATTTTATTATAAATTTTTATCAGCGATCAGAAGTGTAAGAAAATCTTATCGTAATTAAAAGAAATGATTTATTTTTATGTAATTTAGATGAGAGACTATTTCTATCTGTTATATTTTTCGAACATATATTTGCCTGCCTGATTAAAATCTTCCTATAGCATGCTACATCAGTTATGGAGAAAAACATGTGCAGTTAGTGGTGTAAAAAAATGTATATCGTCGCATATATGTGGTGTATACTTGATGTGTACACAGGAAAAAAAAGAAGAAGAACGAATTATTATTGATCATTCGAAAGAAAGAAAAAAAATGTGAGGCCAAAATATGAAATATATATATATAATATGACTGTATTGTCATTCATCGTTTATACGTGTTACGGATAAGACGCAACACGTTCCTCCTCTTCTACATATATTAAAATTCACACTCATTCACCCTATTCTCTTTCACACTCTTTCACCTCTTCTTCCTTTAACGCACACAGTGCGTGATAGTGTATACTATCAATTCTTTATCTTATATTATAATCAATATCTAGTCATTCTTAATGACTTCTTATTCGAATTATAATCCACACAATCAAACGAATCCACAAACTCATCCTGAAGCTTACGAACAAATGTCACATAATCGGAACTCAAATGCTGCATTTCATCATAAAGTCAATGTACGTAAACCGGTACCACCTCCATCATCAAAAAATCTGCATCTAGTCTCATCACCAGCTTCATCTTCTCGTCGTGCTCTCTCTTCCAACGATTCTGATGACGACTTCCACAAAGTTACTAATAAAAAAACAAAAAAAGAAGAGAAAAAGAAAGCCAAACATAGACAAACAGCAGCCTCCCCCATGCAAGCAACGCTTGATATTCCACCATGTAATCTCGATCCAACATCTTCAAATGTTCCTGACTCACCACGTCTCACCTCTTCTATTCCAGCATTACAAAACGTACATCAAAATAAGATTGATCAACATCACCTTCAATCTCAACACATTTCAATATCGAACGAATCAACCCGATACGCACAAACACGATTCCCGTTCCCACCTTTCATTGTACGTTTTACATCAGGGAAGGTATCACCGAGTCAAATTAAAGAAGAAATAATCGATCACTGCAATAAATTACATCAGATAGAAATTCAAGTTCTTAATTGTCGTTCATCAAGTGCATCGATTGGTCCCAATGGATATGATATTCTTCTTTATTTAAAAGATGTTGTTTCTTTTTCTTTCCTACTAGATAAATCTCATTGGCCAAATTTATTTAAAAATGAAGTTTTTACTTTTCCTTCTTGGCCATCTATACCACCTCAACTATGCTTGTTAATAAAGAATGTTGATCTGCATGTAGATTTCAATGATTTCACGTCAGATATTAAATCTCGGTATCCTGACATTTTACACGTGATTCGTATGAAGAATAAATTTCAAGAGAACATAAAAATGATCAAAATAGAATTTACATCGCCAGTCACACGTGATAAACTATTAAATGATAAAATAATTAAAGTAAATTATAGTACATACGATCTTGTGGAATATCTGGCTCCTGCCAACGTCTTAATATGCTCTAAGTGCATGGCACTAGGGCACTTCAAGAAACAATGCACGCAGCTTTATGAAACATGTCGTGTCTGTAGTGAAGAAATTACTGATATGAATAAGCATAAATGCTCCAAAATAGAGAAGTGCATTCACTGTGGTGAAAACCACAGATCCAACTCGCTCAAATGCACCGTTATCAAAAGTTTTCGTGCTGAATTAACTCGTAAATTGTTGCATATGAACACTCATCACACACCGTTATCATCAACCAACAGTAATAATAATAATAATATTAATAATCTTATGTATCATATGTCAAATTATCCGTCTCTACCAACACCTCAAGTACCTGTTATTAATCCAATGATGAATAAACTGGACGATCTTATTGGGAAATTATCTGAGGTTAAAGATCATCTAGCTAACTTATCTTCTAAATATGACAAATTTGAAGAATTCATGAAGGATAAAAATCAAAATGACGAACACATTAAAGAAAATTTAGCTACATTATCAAATTATAGTTCTGAATTAAAAAAGAATGTTATTCACAATAGCTTACTAATTAATCGTCATGAAAATTTATTTATTAAATTAATTTTACCAATGCTGGAAGATGTATTCTCTTTATTTGCTGCTCAAATTATCGACAAACAAGGTAATTCACTTGATAAAAGTAAACTGGAAAATTACCTGTCTCAAGTGAAAAAAGCAAAAGAAGGAAAACACTTCAGTAACTAATGAGTCTTTCGCCGTTCGCGTATCCTTTTTACTCTTGTACTTCTCCTCTTAAATTGTGTAAACGTAATGCTTTTATGTCCAAAGCCAGAGAACTTCTATCACACTTTGATTGTAACCTTTTTTCTAATATTTTACATGAGTGGGAAAGTAGTCTATCTCTGCAAGTGTGTTTTTCTTCTTGGCAGGAATATATTCCTACCGGTGACAATCCTAAACTTTTGTCTCTTCAAGTACTTTCATTTAATGTCAGAGGCCTCGATATGAGATGGCAAGAAGTTCTTCTTCTTGTGTCTTCCTTTAAATTTGATATTCTTGTTCTTCTCGAAACAGGGGACATAGACACTTCCTTTCATGAAAAACATTTCTCTAATTTCAAAAATTTCTACCAAAAAGGGGAAAATAAAAATGGCGGTGTATTAGTACTAGTTAAAGAAGGGATGACAGCTAGTAGAGTTACTTGTAAGATTCCAAACGTTTGTGTAGTTGATATTAAAGGAAAAGAAGAGTTTAGATTACTTGGTGTGTATGCACCTGATAGTAAAAATTGGTCATGGGATGATCTTTCCCCCTTTTTATCTAAGAAATGTATTATTTATGGCGATTTTAATATTGATATTATAAAAGATGGAACGAAAGCCGATCCTCTTCTTCAGTGGACAGATGAGCAATTTTTAGCCCCTATCATTCCTAACTCTCGAACTTCGTTGCGTTCTGATAGAGTGATCGATTATGCTTTAGTACGTGGTTTTAATTTAGATATTCAAACCTATAAGGGAAAGACAACAAGTGATCATCTTCCTATAATTTCTGTAATTCCTTTGAATATCTCTCAGCAAACGTTTGGAAAAAAGATTCATTGGGAAGTTTTCTCACTTTTCTCCGAATATACTTTTTCCTTTTGGGAAGAGAATTGGAATCTCGATTCTATGGATCATACATATAATGATTATATTCGTTTTTTATCTCTTCTATCAACGCGTTGTACGACGTTTTTTCGATTAGATAAATATCGTTCAGCTTTACCCGTCGAAATAAGATCGTTCTTATCTTATATTAGAGCACTTTCCTTTAGGCACTTAAGAACGAAATGTCCTATGTTAAAAAAGGAGGTATTATTCTTGAAAAGAATTGCCAAAAATGAACTGGATCGTTTTTTCTCCTCTCAATTGGATTATCATCTTCGTGTTCGAAATTCTTCTTCTTCTGCAGCTAGTTCCTTTTGGTACAGAAGTAAACGTTTTCTTAAATCTTCATCATCTTCTCTGAATGCTCTTATTGATACATCTGGACAGATAATTAGAGAAAGTGAACTTATGTGTGATATTGCAGCAGATTATTATGAAACTTTTTTTAAAAGTTCAAATATTATTAGACCTCATCCATATACTGATTCTCCTGCTATTAAATTTGATAATAGCGATGAAATTATTCCTGAAGTGAAACTTGAGGAATTAGTTAACTATATTCATGCTAAACGTAAAAAGAAATCCGTCGATGCTCATGGCATCTCGAACTATATGTTCAACTATCTTCATATCGAACATTGGTCTTTGTTGCTTAAACTCTTCAATCTTTCTTTTCAGAAATCTATTTTACCTTCAGCCTGGAAAGATACTCGTGTAATACTACTAGCTAAAAAAGAATCCATTTGTCCACCTTCATTAACTCGACCTATCTCATTACTTGACTCATTTCAAAAAGTTGGAGAAAAACTTTTTCTTACACGTTTTCGGGATCTTCTCTCCAGGAGAGGTCTTTTGCCAGATAATCAATCGGGATTTCGTGAAGGATTTAGATTACAATCGCGTCTACTACTTTTTCTTGAAGATATGTATAGTCTTATGTCGAATAGTGCACCTGTCAGTACAGTTTTCGTTGATTTTCGTGCTGCATTCGACCAATTATGGTTTCTCGGATGTATAGGGAAACTACGGAATTTAGGTATTCCTAAAGCGTATTTAGATTGGATTGAAGCTTGGTTGTTGAACAGGAGATGTTTTATCGAAATCAATAATAAACGATCTCGATGGTTTTCTATAGAAAAAGGGGGCCCTCAAGGTAGTGTTTTAACTCCTACGTTATTCATCTCCTTCAACTGTGATATGGGTAGTTCATTACCAGGATGTATCAGTCATTTTTTCGCTGATGATTTAGCTGGAATTATATCTGGACAATTAGGAATAAAATATTCTGCTCAATGTCTCGATCTGGAAAAGCGTCTTAAAGTTTTTCTCGATCATCTTGAATATTATTCGTGTCTAACTGATCAACCTATTAATACGAATAAAACAGAGGCTTTATTTAGCGCACGCGCGATTGGTTTTCCTAAGTTTAATCTTCATTTTAATTATGGTTCTAAAGAAAAAATTAACTGGGTCCCAGAGTATAAATACCTTGGTTATGTAATTTCATCTAAACTAGGTTGGGGTAAATTTCTTAAACATATGATGACTAAGATTAGGCATAGGATCTCCTTGATTAAATCTTTCAAACTTTTTGGTTGTTCTTCTCCTTCTCTTCGTAAAACACTTTTCTTATCCTTTGTTTTACCCATTTTCACATGGATATATCCAATTTACCCCTTTCTTTCAGTGAAGCAACAGGGTGATTTGTCACACTTTTATTATGCTTCTTTAAGACGTGTTCTGTACTGCTTGTGCTGGAATGAAAACTTTTTTGCTTTTGCTCTTGATGAGAAGTCATTGGAAGATCGCTGTGCCTCCTACTGGGAGAAGTATTTAATTAGTCTTGCTGACTCGACTGATGGAATATTGTTATTTGAAAAAGCCAATCTGAACGTATCTAGGCAATGTTGGATTGAAGGGCATTTTTCAGTAAAATGTCTGAGAAGATCCAAAAGATTCGTGTCTAATCAATCAGCGGTAGAAATAGTAGTTAACTGGTTAAGTTCTATTCCCTCTCGTTCTTCTGTTCCTTATTACGAGATGGAAGAAATTCAACTCCTTGAGGATTTTCCTGAATCTTTTCTTTTCTGAAGGTAACTATCATTCTTACTCTCTTATTTATACATGCTTTCTATTTTCCCGTTGTACTCATATGCGCTTCTTTTTTTGGTCTCTTTCATCTGTACTTTCGTTACTTCACTATTTCGATTTTTTTTTTTTCCTGTTATTCGTGTTATTTTTCTTCATATTTTCTTGTGATATTTTCTCTTCTCATATGTACTGTTAGGATCTTAGGATCACAGTTTATCGCATAATAAAAAAAAAAAAAAAAAAAGAATACTTAAAATACTTTTTAGATTTGTGAAAGATTGCAATCAGTTAATAACAACATAACAAGTATTCGTTTAAAACACTTAGATTTCGAGGGTTGAGAGTGTAGATGTGACTTTTCTATTCAACTCTCTTCCAAACTGATACTCGAACACCCATCAACATTCCAACTAAAAATAATTTGAAAACTATTAATCATAAGAGTAGTTTATTAATTCATTAAGTCCCATAGAAATTTACTTCGTTTAATTGGAGATAATGATTAGAATTTTTTAACAAAAAGGATATTAAATTAAGAATAATGTTGAAAACGTATCTTACATCTTCATCCTCAAAAGCGTCAATCAATTCTTAACGTTCCGTTGACATTTACAAAAGAAAAAGAATTTTGTATAAAAACAATGATTAATATTTATGTATGTTAAATCTATTTTATTCAATAAACTATATTAGAATCCAATAAAAGTTTTGTTAAAAGAAAAAAGATTCGATATATCAATAAGATCATTAAATTGTATTTCTTCTATTGGATATTTTAGAATATTGACATTCGAGAGATTGAATAAGACGAATAAAATCAAAAACTGATATAGTTCAAACAATAGGAGATAAAAGAAAATCTTTAACTAAATTTATTTCATCATCACGACTACAAAATAAAACAATAACATCAACATTTTCTTTTGTTTGAGATAAAGCTTTGAACATTGCTAAGAAAGGTGTAAAATCAATACTACCAACAATAAATAAATCGTTTTTCATGAGATTGTTTATTATGATCAACCCATGTAAATTCACCTCCTACTCAAATTAATTTCCAATGTATCTTTGACAGTACATGTTACTTTATTTCTATTTCTATTTGAATGAAAATGAGAGTGAAGAAGAAATAATCCACCTTCAAATATAATTATCAGCGATTGACTGAGAATTCGAATTCTTTATATATTCATATGTTCATTGAATTAAATCTAAAAAATCCTCCACGTTTAAATCAAATCTTTTCTTCTAATTGAAATGTAAATCTTGAAATCTATTCAAGTTGCATTTCTAGTTGAGGATTTTAAAAAGATTTTTTCATTTTAACAAGTTTAATAGAAAGATAATATATCGATCTAATTTAATTCTCATAATTAATGTGACACATCCCATTATATATTCAGCTTGATCATCATAAATATTTTCATCAATGCATCTAACATGAAGCATATCACCTGTATTAAAACAAGGACAACTCTATCAATTTTAATATTCTCAAGTGATTAAGAAAATTGATTTGCTGCATAATCTCTCGTAATAAGATATGTAGATTCATCTTTTTTACAAGTTCGAACAAATCTGAGATGTTAAGTATTATTATAAATTTAACTTGTTAGATGTCGTCTCGTCTAGCTAAAAATAAAGTACTAACTTCATTAATTATATTTAAACATTGTTCATTTTCATGATCAATCATCACTCGTCAATCTCTTTTATAATGTTGAAATTGTTCAATATTTTGAACAATTTCCAATACTTTCATTTGTTATTAGAGACATGTTCAAAGTGTTACCTACGAGATTTTAATGAACAAAAAATCCTGCTACTTTATTTCTTTGATGATTATTAAAAACAACATCATGACCAGCAAAATAACGACAAGATCTATTATTGTATTTATAATTAGACATGACCCAAACCCAAACTCAAATTCAAACCGTTTGGGAGTTTGAGTTTGGGTTTGGGTTTGAGTTCGGGTTTGGTACCCAAACTCCCAAACAGTTTGAGTTTGAGTTTGGGTTTGGGTCTACATTTAATTGCAATCAATTTATTCAAAATAGTTCCTTTTACAGATTAAAAAAAGCACAAACCCAAACTCAAACTCAAACTGTTTGGGAGTTTTGGTGCTAAACCCAAACCCAAACTCAAACCCAAACTCAATACTCAAACCCAAACTCACCAAACCCAAACAGTTTGGGTTTGGGTCATGTCTATTTATAATACTAGATTAAGATCAATCACCTTTTCATGAAGCAACAATAATTGTTGTCCAAAGTCTTCCATGAATATCAATAGGAGATATATGAAAATAAGTTAAATTAGTAACAAAAATGTGAATGTTGATCTTGTTTATGATTAGAAATGATTTAAGAAACTATTTTAGGCATATGTGGAGAAGTGTCTCTTTTTCTTTCAACAAATAATTCTTCTTCATATTGATCATGGCATTTAATACGTGCTGCCAGCATACATTTTGATTGTAATGATAGGATAATATATTGTTATTTCTCTTAGTGAAATGCAATCGAAAAAAAGAATATTACAATTTAAAATAATATCTTTCGATACATTCTCTTTCTAATTACGAGAAAAACGGTGAGAGGTCATCAATCTACTCAATATTAGATACGAACGTTTTAGTAGCTTTGATTAGTTCATAGTATAACATTCGAACATTTGAAAATATGATTTTTTTCCATTTCTCAATCATTTATTTAATCTTCCTGACAAATTATTAAAAATCTTTGACTAACAAATGAGTCATTGCATCTTTTTTTCCTCAAGTAAAAAGGTGAATTTCACTTCTTCGAATTAATCTCGAATTAAATAGAATTGCTTAAAATCCTGTGAAGTTATTCGTGAAATTGAGCAAATTAAATAAATTCTATATGAATTTAGCAAAAAACAGAAATAAATTTGTTTAAAGTCTATCTCAATGATCATCTAGAATTGTTTTTAAATTCGAATATCAATTTCTCTAACAAATCATTCAATGATAAATACATCTTTACGATTAGTTTTTTATTGATTGACAAATTTTCCATTTCATCTTATGTATATTTCAAATAAACGTTCGTTCTAGAACATACTCAATGAAATTATTCTTTCCAATCCATAAAATAAGACAAACTCGATATAACGAACTGATTTATGAAGATTTTTAATACAAAATCCAATGTCATATTATAATTATTTGAATCTTTGATAAACGTATTCAATTACAAACAAATATTTCAACATAAAAATCTACTCTCTCTTTACTTCATCTTTTGACAAATCTACTTTGATTATTTAATAGAAAACTTAACCGTTAATTAGAAGTTATTTTATATGATACTCTATGGCTAATTGAAATTCTAAAACAACAATTACAATTTCAACATTCATAATATGATTTTTATTTTGTATAAATCTTATTTATCTCTATCGTGATTTATACAGAATCCGAGATTTTCTATTTCGTCATAGTGATAGAATATAATGGATAGAAGAGAAAAATGGTTCGTCATAATCATAATACTTTTGTTTCTCCTCTCATAAGAAAACGATGAGAGAGAGAGAGAGAAAGAAATATTATTCGTAGATGATAGAAATAATATATAGAAAGTGTTGGAAAGATCTTTTAATATATATTCTTTGCATTGTCGATTTTCAATAAACGTTTATTTTCTTCATTATTTCTAAGAAATAAATGAACAATATTATTTTTATTTGTTGGTTAAAGAAATCTTTTTTTCTCTCAAATCAAATACAATATTTATTATTTATCAAAATTATATTAGAAATTTTGAGTAAAGAATGAAACTAATTTTAAAAAATAATAAAATACATTCGAATATTTGAGTAAAATAAATTTTCATGTTCTTTATTGATATTATGAAATAGATCAGACATAACTCGATTTATTTTATAGAATATATATTAAACAATTTGAATTCAAGTTCAATATTAATTATTGTCATAACTCATTCATAACTCGTAATAGATTGACAAATCAAACTGATCTCATATTTTATGTTCATTCGAATTGTATTCAAATATTTTGTTAGATAAATTTATTTTAATAAGAATTATTTCAATGAGATATATCTTGAAACAATTTTCCTATTTACATTTTTCAATATGACAAATATTGAAATAAAAATATTAACAAAAAACGAATGTTCTATCCCAATCTCTATTAGAATAAAATATAAAATTAAATTAATAATGTTTGTGAGAAGAAAATGTTAGTTTCTTTTTTACAAAATCTCATTTTCTAATTAAACTTGAGAAATATTTTAATTAATTGTTTCTTTTTCTTTTTTTCCGTATATTCGATCTCTCCTGAAATAAATTCTATCGAATGAATAAAGATTTTATTTAAAATAAACAAATTCGTTCTATATAAAATAAAGAAAATCAATCGATTATTTATTACGATTCTATCATATGTCATTGTTGAATAAATCTAGATAAGATATTTTCTTTTTTCGTAAATCACTTTGAAGAAGAAAAAAGTGTGAAACTTCGAAATCTATTTGGATAGAAAATGAAAAAATTTATTTTGAAAAAAAACGAAATATTCTTTAAATGATTTCATATTAAATTCTAAGAAATGATTTTTCAAATAACAATGAAATATTCTTTCGTTTGATAAGATACTTAACCATACACGTTCATTAATTCTCAAATATTTTCATATCGAAATAAAATCAATAAAAAACATAAATCATAACAGCGATATAGAATTCAATATCTTTACTTTTTCATGATTTAATTTATTGAAATTGTTTTGTTATATATTCATATTTGATGAAAATATCTGTCAAACAAGATATTGTTGCAAATAAGAATCACAATTAAGTATAGATAATAAATTTCTATAAACGTTAGTTTTGTTTATTAGAATTATTTTCTAACGTAAGAAGATAATTAAACAAAATTCTATTCATTTATTTGACTCGATTTTATTAAAGAGAATAATAATAAATTAAAATATTTGTTTGTTTGATCTTTTTAATAAGAAATATGTTCGATAAATAACAATATAAAAATATTCAACTAAATAATCAATATATTGATTATATCATTAAATCTTATCTAATAGATTACTTTAACATATTAGAATATTTTCAATATTTAAAGAAAACGAATAAAATTGATGATTGACTTAATAAGGAAATAATTAGAAGAGATTTTTCCACATTTCATATCTATAATATTGCTCATTTAAATCTTAAAAAAATTATAGATAAAACAATGAAGAGTAAAACGAAATTCATAACAAGATTGAAGAGAAATACATAAGGCAATTTAATTGATTGATTTTTTAAATTTCTTATTATATCTTGTATACAACATCCGTTTGATAAACATATTCAACAACTATCTCTTGAGAAAATAAAATATTCTGTTCAACAATTGCCATTATTATGAAAAGATTTTTTTCTATTAAACTATTCTTAGTTGACTTAGATATACGATTAGACTGAAATATATTTAAAAGATTTTCATCTAAAAAGAAAGAAATTCTTTTCTTTTCATTTTCATTTTCTAATATTGATCACAAATATAATTCTAATAAGATAAAAGAAAAGAAATTCATTCATTATATTACAATTTTCATAGATTTTTCGAAAAGTAACCGACAGTTTTTCAATTTTTTCATTCGAAAATCTAAGTAGAATTGAAGATGAAAAATAAACTTATTGAATTTAATAAATAAGTTTGTAAATATGATAATATCAAGAATAATAAATTTCATTGAATTCGAAGTTTAATTAAAAAGATGAATTTCTCTTAATCTTCTTTTCATATCGACAATTATCTTCATAAAATCATTTAATACATTAACATTCAGAAGATTTATCTAAACACATTTTAGTATTTTGACAAGGTAAAAAATAAGATTGATTACAATTTAAATGACATATTCATATACAAATTGTTTCTATATGTCTACAAATATTTCTAGAAAATTCCTTTTGACATTGGCAAATAAATTATGTCATTCTATTAACAATTTTATTAAATCGAATTGTTTCATTTTCATTGAATTTCTAAACTTGAAATCGAACAATATAACGATGAAAATTATCGATGACAATTATCATAAACTTGAGAGAAGAAGAAAAATGATTGTTAATGAGATTGAATAGAATTAATATTATCAATATTTAAAATAGTTTTTATTAAATAGAAACGTTTGATTAGTTAAACTATAAAGAAAATTAATTATACTTTTATCTAAATTTAAAATGATCAGCATTCACAAAATAATTTCAATTATCAAAATTTATTTCTATTTTATTTTGTTAATTGAATAACAATTCAAAATAGATTTATCGTTTCTATTCGTTATTAATGTATCACTTATTGTTCTATTTATTATTATTGAAATTTCTGTTGATGAAATCACATGGAAAGTTGAATTATACCATGTTGGATCTTTAAATTATTTAAATTTATCAGTTTATACAATAAGTAAACACTCATTTGAGAACTCGCTCACCATTTTCTTATAGAAATCACATTCTAAATAACCATCAGACTATTCATTTATATAATTTAGAAGAAAAACCGAATATCAGATTAAAATTCTTTAACTCGAATTATTTTTTGATACATTTTATGAGACCAAGTCATTTTTATTTGCACTTTAGTTTTCGATCGATCAGTAAGTGTGAACACACAAAAAAATTATTCTTGTTAGACTTTTCTTTATGAGAAAAAAATGTAAAGATTTTGAGAAAATATTTGTGAAATAAAAATCCTAATAATCAACTTGTTCTTATGAAAATAATTATTCAGTTATTCGAAAGATTTTATTGAAACTTAAAGAAAAAACAAAAATGAAATTATTAGTAAGATGTGTCTCATAATCTGTTATATTCGATGATAAGATTGTTTTACGATGAATTAATAAAATAAGTAATAGAAGAACTTTTTTTGAAAATTTTTTATTGAATATAAAATCTAAAACATACGTTAATATTTATTATTTCTAATGAGTTTGACAAGGTATTTTAAACAAATTTCATTTGAAATTTCAAATATTTTGTCATTATTTATTCATTTTAATCTATCTAAGAAATGAAAAAGAAAATATGATTATTTTATTAAATATTTTCTCTATTTTTCATTTTCTAAAGTGCATCAGAATAGAATTTCTGTCAAAGATATTTTATAGAATATTCTCTAATTCTATTAAAGTTGACAAATCAATTTGAGAATAGAAATCTAAGGTAACAAAAAAGCAATCAATGTATATTATTAATGTTATTGAGTGTGTATATAGTTGAATTAAATCAATTCATTTATATGTTCACATGCAATTATTTATTAAAAATAGATATAGAATTTGTTTTTATTCTAATATAGAAATAAACAATTTCCCTATACTAACTGTATCGAGGGTGTGAGTATGATTGATAACGAAGTGAACATCCACACCCGACCTTTTTTCTTCATTACCACTGAGAAAACTCTAATTTATTGCGACACATGTTGTTCAAATAAAATACTCTTAAAGCCATTTTTGCACAGTTTTGAACAAGCTTTCTAAAGACAAGAAAGTTTTCTTTTAGCTATTTTTATTTTTGTGAAAAATGCAAAAAATAACCGTAACGCTGTTATACAGTTTTTGTCAACCATTTTTGAGTTAGTTAACATCGCCAGAATGATCTGATTTTTGTAATAATTAGTCTTTATTGTGTAAATAAGCGTTCTACGAAAGAATCAGATTGATCCATTGATATGGGACCTCAAAAACTGAATAGTAAGTTGAGAATTGTATAAGTGGCTAAAGTTGGTCCTAGCTGCCAAAACTAAATAAGCGATTTTGTAGAAAATGAAATTCTGCATTAAATGGTACGTCTCTCGACATTTTGGAAAACTTTCTTGATTGGAAAATTCGAAATGCGATTTTTTTTAAGATTAAAACCCGGTTTTTGATGAGAAAAGCTGAATTTTTACAAAATAAATATCAGGTTCGTAACCAGCGTTAAAAACTGCCTCTTGTAGCTTGTTCAAATCTGTTCAACTCGAAAGAAAATTTTTTCAAAACTTGATCGGCGAAGTTCCCCGTTACGTAAACAAGTCGCAATACTTTTTCAGTTACTTATAGCTCGAACATTTGCTCAAGATAACTCAATAAATACATAAATATTTACATATTATAAAAATATTTTCATTATTTTATTTTACAAAGATTAAGACAAATAGAATATCGTGCAATACCAATCTTCACAACAGGAAGAAAACAGATTTTTCAGTATTGAATACCTGATACCATCTTCAAAAAGTTTTTGAGCAATAATTTCTGAAACAGTGAATAACTAGACAATCATAGGAAAACGTTTTTTTATATTCAGCGTGTAGGTGTGGATACAAGACGAGAATAGACATTCATACCCGTCCATATCCAACCATACCCAGTCTTTCTTAAAACTTCATCTTATTCAATGTGATGAAATAAATAGAGATTCATGGTTATAAAGATAATTTATTAGTTAAGAAATAATAATGACATATGAGTATGAAGTAGAATAATATAATATTGTTAGTTGAGGATAAAAATAAAACGTATAGTTAAATGAAAAAAGAAAGTGTTTGTACTGTTAAGTTAAAATTAGATTTCAGATGACAGACATATCTGTTGTTATTGTCTTCTTTCGAAATACAACTCGCCAATATTCTAAACGTCCTTGGCTCATATCTTCACAAATTTGAATACCAGGTAATCCAGCAAACAGACGAAAATATTCTTGTTTTTCAGATTGAATACAACGTTGAATGAAATCAGTACGAGATTTACTTTGAATGTCAAGTTCATAAAGAACATTTTTTGTAATATTAATCTTTTCTTCAATAATTAATTCATCACTTGCTATCAGATCATAAAGTGATGTACCTGATCAATTCATGTAACAAAAATCACACCATAGAAGATATCCATTTGGACGAAGTACACGAGTGACTTCATTGGCAAACTGTGTGATTGCTACTGGTTCGTCGAAAGCATGTGTTGCTTGAATACAAAAAATAATATCAATTGACTCATTTTCAAACGGTAAATGTTTTGCTGCATTAGCCACTACGAATGAAAGTCGAGAAATTGTCGCATAAAGTCGTTGACATAAGTTAATGACATCTTGAGAAGGATCTATTCCAATGTAAGAGTGAGGTGCATGAGTATGAACACACCATGCAGCACCAGCACCTCTATCACAATTGATTTCAAGGACATTCTTATCTGTTAATGTTACATTTGCAAGAACCTAGAAAATAAAACAAAATATTTCAATCATGACTTGTACATAGAGAAAGTCACGAAATTTTCGATTTTTTTTTGTATATTAACTCGATTATATGTAAATAAGTTGATTTGGATGATTTTCTTTGCAAACGTAGAGTGTATAGCATTTAAAAAAACAATCTTATATTCATATCCATACAAATTCCCTATAGATCAAGAACAATGACAATCTCTATTGATAGTGGATGCGAGATAGGACAAAAAAGGGACACTAAAAACAAGTCTTGTATTCTTTTCTACATACCTGTTCATAAAGCTTTCTTGAATAATAGCCAGTATGATCATCAATATATTCATCCATATCTGCATAGCCATAATTCATAAATTGTGATTCGTTTACACGCGTATAGACGCTTGCAATGCGTTCGTACCAGAGAAACAATTTGTTAATGGTCTCGTATCCTTGCTGATATTTTACTGGATCGTTATGAGCTATTGTTAATCGAGATAATCTTGCTTTTATTGTGCAAGATTCTAGAAGAGAGAGATTTAATATAATAAAACTTTTAAAAGATAAGATATCAGAGTACATATATTAGAAAACGTATGATAAACATAAAAAAGTGTAAGATTAGTATGAATATGCAATCTTATAAAGATCTTTGATGTGTACTTTTTTAAGTTTCCAGATTAATTAGAAAACTAGTCAATTTAACTAGAGTTTAAAACATCACGAATCCGGCACTTTATCGTATCTTCGAATCATATATTTACTAATATGAAATGATAGTTTTAAAGTGATCTAATATTAGTATAAGACGCTGATAAATAATTATAAGTTAAAACTGACAAAGAGATTTAACTGAATTCCATGTTAACAAAAGAATACGATAAAAAACAGATTCCGTATATAGTATATCATATATTATGGTCAATGAAATAGTTTAGAAAATAATCTAGTGCCAATGAAAAAAATGATTTTTATTATAGCTTGCTAGCAGAAGACCTACGAAATGTTATACTCAATTTAGCTTCTTATATCGAAACTATTGTATGCTCATTTTTAAGAACAGTATATCTCACTAAAAAGACATGGTAAGGATATAAAAAATGAATATTAATAATGAGTAGACAATATCTAGGAAGTCTCACATAAGAGCAGATCATCTGTCTGAGTGACTTACGTGCAGGAAGCCCTTTCCAGTGAGTATTCAGTGGTAATTGATCATTTTTCATTATTAATGTCAAGGGATAAAGACGATTGTTACCCATTAGTTTGCAGCCTGCCATTACAATTGAGCTGGTCATCAGTATACATGAATTACCGATTGATACAGGAGCTTGTTTCAAAATACGTTGTTCGAAACTGTGACACTGAAAAGATTCAGAAAAACAATTTTATGTGAAAATAAATAACAAAATACTTATGTATTACCAGTATCTGACTACGCACATTAAGTCGAGTATCATCTCCAATAGTGATTAAATAAAAATCAGTAAGACAGGATATATCAGCCACTATACTATTCTTACCAATATGAGCACCACCTACTCGAAATAGTCGAATGAGCCATTGTGTATTACCAAGAAATGGACAAATAAATTGTTCATGATCTTGGCGTAGTCTTTCTATTATTTGTTGTAGAATTTGGTGGCGTATATATGAACGACATCGATAGAGGCCATAGACAAGCATTGCATGAATGATTGATCCACCAACAAGACCACCAAACGAATAAATGCTTAATAAAAGACATTTACTGACATAATGAGACGAACATGTATGCCAAAATGGTAGGGTTTCAATCTGATCTTGTATTTCTGGCCTGGGAGGCATTTGAAATGGCATTGTACGAGCTGGAATACCCATAAAAACTTCTCCATATTTACTTTTTGTCTCTCGTGAGATACGTGTTAAATTGCCAATCATTGTCTCGGATGCAAGGCAACTACCAGGCAAGATTGAACATCCATTGGCAAGGTTTGTATGAGATCCGATTGTTATCCAATCTACACGATGATCACCTGAGAGTGTCAACTCAGTAGGAACTATTAAGACTCCACCAAAAGTAGTAACACCCATTCTGAGTTTTAATAGATTGTTGGACAGGATAGAAAAGAGTCTATCTCAGCGAGTTTGACATTCTCTTCGATATAAGCACCCAACCAACGAAGAATATAAGGATAAAGATAATGGTAGCTAGTCGGTAATAGCTAAGCATGATGAAAACTAAATACAATTAATTGGCGAAGCCATATTTTTTGTAAATATAGCCTAGATGCTATTGGATATATTTCACCAGCAGTACAAGGTCCTACTATAAATTTCAATAGAAGAAGCTAGATAAAACAGCCAGTAATTGACCATGAAGTCCAACACAAAGCAATACTGATTAGTAGTGGTATTTGTCTAACTGAATAAACTTTATATACTATGATCAAAAGTGTACAATGAATACAGATTATCGAGATGATTACAATAATTTGGTAGATCTTATGTCATATCGATAATGATTTGTTACTATGCATAGTAGACATGTCTGAAGGAAGAGATTTGTGTTCTTCACCATCGACAATCGTTCCAGATGCGACGAAGCCAGTGACTGATGACATGGGTTGAACAATAATATTATTTTGCATATCAACTCCATCAAATAGAACCGATCGTGTTGCTATTGAACAAGTAGAGCCAATTCTAATTGGACTCCCCAGGACATTCGATCCGACTTGTGGACCGTACGGGAACATAT